AATCTTCTGTCTGACCCTTTACTATGGTGTATCAAAAGAAAATGAAAATCGAACAGCAGTGGAAAATAAAGTACTGAGAAAGCAAAATAATAAATAACTTGAAGAATATAGGAAGAAGAAATGGGAAAGGGGGCAGAAAAAGAGGCATGGCGGGAATAATGGGAGCAGAAAAAAATGAAACATTGGGGAAAACTTAAAAATTATCCCTTTGATGTAAACAGTTTTAGCATACTGCTCTTAACTGGAAAATTTCACAGCTAAAACAATTATAAGCAGCATAAAAATGCACACACAATGATTTAACTAATTACATCAAAATACGCATAGCCAGTGACGCTAAAATCCACACCAGTGATCACTCCCCCCCCCCCCTCCCACCTCCAAACACACATACAAGAGGAAGTCGAAAGAAATTAACCTTACGCCCTTAGCGGAGAGAAGGACAAGAAGATTACGATGTACAAAATCTTAAAAGGATTTGACAGCGTAGGTAAGAGCAGACTGTTTGAATTAAGAGGACAAGGATCAAGAGGACACTGATGAAGCCTAAGTTTTTGGGTGGTTGAGGCTAACTCAATACACAGCTTCAAAAGTAGATACGGTAAGGCCCAAGAGGACAAAAATCAATGATGCCCATTAAAGTAATGTGGGATGCTAAGCAAATTAACAGTTATCAGTGCGGTCACAAATTAAACTTAACATGAAAGGGGAAGTAGCACAAACGAATATACATGGAGAAAACAAAATTCAGTAACGCATACTGGGAATGTTTGAAGCCCCTCGATCTATACTCATTGGAACGAAAGAATGGTACATTATAATCCACACGGTGCAAAATATCATCAACGGAAAGCAGGAGTGCAATAAGGAAAAACTAGAATATGAATGAACCAAGACTTTTTTGACGTCCTTCCTTCATACCTTTGAAGAGTTTCAACAACTTTCCTACTCCCTTGACTTAACTCCCTGCGGCCCGCTGGCCCACAGCCATCACAGCCTGGTTGATTTGGCACTTAATAGTGGTATTTGTCTAATTCATATATTAAGACGCTTGATCAGCCACGCTGTGGTGCTTATGTTGGCTAGCACCAACAGCCTGGTTGATACAATCATCCACAGGGAGGCCTGGTGTGGGGCCGGGTCGCGAGGGAGTTAACCCTGCAAACACACTCCACTAGATAATTGATAATTGTATATTTCAGCCTTCCACTGATGTCGAAATACGCAATACTCCTTCCAATCCAGCGTTTATTACGCTTACGTGTTGGAATCATTACAGGAATATATTAGATTTTGCCACCGAAGCGGCTAGCTTATTGTGCACATCATAACTATCCTGGAGACGGTAGCGCAAGAGTATATGAATACACAACCTAGGAACTAGACCCCAAAATTCAGGATATCTGTTAATACGTAACCACATAATGCTTATGGTAACTTCCTTGAACTGAAACTATTACGAAACATAATAAATATAAGCGTATAGTACGTAGAAGGTAATAAATTCATCTACCATCATACATTTCCATGGGAGAGATCAGACGAGTAATCCTCGAGTGCAAATTGTTTATAAAACATGTTTCCATTTCACATTTTTCCGAACCTACAATTCAACTTCTGACGACCCCACCACTTTCGTCTGGTTCACTACCTGGTCTGCCAGACTGGGTATTTGCAGCTTGTATTCTCAGATGGCACCACAGCCAGCCTGATTACGAACATTAAGCAGTAACTCACTGAAAGGTGCAGTCTCAAAACAAGTACCGTATCCACCGGGCCATATCAGCCTGAAATTCACACTAGATTTATTTTTATTAACACACTAGGAAAGCAAGCATGGGCTCCACTATAACCACAAATATGTATTTTTACAGATAGTATACCAACATGTGAGGTTCGTCTGTAAAAACCTGCATTTGAGGGCAATGGCATCCTTCCGAACCTTCCTAGTAAGTACACAAAGTACTAGCACGAAGTTAAAATAACACGCAGTAATTAAAAAAACAATATATCATTAAATGTTTAAAAAAATCCAGAATAATTATTCGCAAGATAAAATAGTTTGCTGGTAATGCTACTTATATTTGCTAATGATTCCTTGGTTCAGCACACCCGCGACCCGGTCTCCTCCTACATCGGAAAGAAATAGCAGAATAAAACTTTAAAAGAAACTTTTAAAGGTTCCAAGATTCACCTATCTTACATGTTTATGAAAAACACCAGCAATCCTGCCTGGGTGCAAAACATTTAACAGGGTTAGTTGATGAGTGTTTTAAAATATTCTAACCTTTTATGTTTACTACATTAACTATTTAGTGTAACACATGACAACCAGTTTATGAATACATGATCCTCGTACTAAGACCACCTTGATTTTTGCACAAACAGGATTTTGGGAATCAATAATTCGCTACCACATAGAATAGAGTAGCAGCACGTAGTTGATTTATACAATTTTTGCTAAATATATAAACAAGTATGAGCCTCTTGTGAGAGAGCCTGTTCACCCAAGAATTTCTTAATGGGGAACATACAATTTAGATGAACTTCTTCCCCTCACATCCAGTCCTTTAGGATGTCTTCTCTGGAACCCCCCCCCCTTTTTTTTTTTGCCAAACTACAAAACATTGCCGAAAGTTTGTAATGTGCCAGAATAAGCTCTCCAAAACTATGATTATCACGTGATACGCAAGTGTTTGCACAGAGCAGCTCGATGCTGGGCGCATTATAAAAGCACAAACCAAGGGCAATCATCTCGTGATCAATGTAACAAAAAAAAAAAAAAAGGCTGCTTTCTCAATTACTATATTCCTAACTAGAATTAAAGTGATGGAATATTTCCAGAATAAAAATTAAAACATTTTAACTCATTTCAACACATGAAATTCTCAAACACAGTACTAACATTCTCAGACTCCTGCTTCGTATTTTACCTGTATTCTTCAATTTTCAATTTGGGGAGATCAACTGGCATTACCCTACGATTATTAAATGCGCTAAATAATCAATGAATAAAACGTTTCGGTACGTATTGACACAAATACAGTATTATAAATATTTTAATAACAATCCGGATTCCCATTTCTTATTATGCAATACTGATAAAAGCAGGTCACTTTGCGGTGACCCTAACGTCTTAGGTAACTGTATACTACAACTCCCTGCCAGGGGTCTTCCATGAGAACCTGTGATCCTAAAGATAAAATTTTTTTCAATCCTAAACATTAAAACAGCCTTTAAATTCCAGTCTCTGAACAGTGATTCTCGACTGTTATTTAGTTCAAGGTAACTTTCTAGTTACCTTGATTAGGTAAAGTTACACGGAATACACAAGATAAAGCATGTTAGTGATTCACTAGTTCAAGGTAACTTTCTAGTTACCTTGATAGGTAAAGTTACACGAGATATACAAGATAAGGCATAATACATTTTGTCTTAATATCAATACCATTCATCCTACCCGTATGTTTAATCATATACAAAATATGAGTTTATTTCCATATGATGTAATAAATGTTTCAATGGTCCAGCTGCGGCATGTACATACAAAGTGGAGGTTATCAGCTAACTCAGCACCTAAGTCTTTGTTTCACATGCAGTTCAACCTTATTTACAGACCAAAACGGACGAGATAAAATTTTGAAAAGTTCAGCAAGATTTCAGGTTTTCGAATTGAGAAATTAAATTAGCTTCTGACTAGACTAAAGAGGCTTTATTATTCAAAAATTCATTTCTACGTCATATATCATATTTGGCATGTGTTTAAAACTCCCCTGGAGTTAGAGACGCCAACTCAGATTTGGCAGGATATACACAAAATTCACACAAGCTACAAACGTCTCGCTAACGTGACCCACCACCTATAGGATGGAACAAATGTTCCTCTGTTGAGAATATCTACACGCGGTAATAAAACATGACAGCCCTTTGCAAAGACATGATTTAGAGAAAAAAAAGTAACAAGTGCCTGTTATAAATGCACAAGGTACAGCCTAGAATCTTACAGAGAGAGAATCAGCAAGGTAACAAGGGGAAAATTTATAGCAAATTCCACGCCAGGTAAAACCAAGCCCCGTTCAGTTGAAGGTGAACATGAAATACAGTAGTAGATCTGAAAAAATTCTTTTTCCATTTTTCCCCATATTAATTTGCCCATGTCAATAGATGTCTATGATATAAAAGCATAGACATTCCATCACCTCGCCAAAACTTTGGAATATAATCAGTGTTGAAAAGCAAACAAGGAGTCATGGTAGGCCACAGGGGCTAGCAGCAGTGGCAGCATCACCGGTGGGTGGAGTTATCCCACCTTGGTGGGTGGGCGGGGGTTCAAGGGAGGGAGAGACGGGACACAGGATGGGTTAGTGGGGAGTGACGATAGAGTTCCGCGCAGGTTCCCATCACCGGTGAGAGGGGCCAGGGCCAGCCAGCCTCGCCACTCCAACACCACTAGCCGGCAAGTATCTTCTCCACACAAGATCACTCACAAACACCAGTAATCCTGGAAGTAGTAGCACCAGCACAGATATCAGTGTGATAAGGTAGGTGAAGCAGAGGGTGGGGCCTCAACGGTGATGTTGTCTCAGTGTTTACACCACAACTCGTGACGGTGGCGCCAGCTGCTCGGCAGCCAGCCACGTTGCCATCACATTCACCAGCCCAACACTCATCCTAAACTTTCTCTCTATACAACCAGAAAAAACCTAACACGAAGAGGTCCTACACTGCACGGAACAAGTGAGTAAGAAGCAGCAGTCAAGCGACAGAAACAACCCTAGCCGGCTACTAGAGGCCCCGGCTCCCGGCAGCAGCAACTCTGCAGCCAGTGTGGGCGAGAGAGAGCAATGGTGGCGGCGCTGCAGTAGTTTACTATTAACATTGTGGGGGCAAGAGCAGGGATGCTACCCTCCACTGTGCAGCAAGCAGCAGCAGTGGCAGTACATAGGTGCGGTGGCAATGGAGGAGTATGTGCTAGTGGTGCTAGTGGCGGTGGCAGTTACCTGTTAGCCATGCTGCCGTTGAGCGCAAACTCCCGCATCACCTGTGCGTCCTGCACTGTCAATCAATACAAGGCTGCGGCGCTGCCAAACGCACGATGACGTCTCGTAGACACACCTAAACCAACACAAGTAATTCCTAACTTCTCCGTCTGCAAAATATGAGCGCACGTTTCAAGCGGGAAGTGCAGCGTTCAACGGAGGAGAGAAAGAGACTAGCCAGTGGTGTAGCCTGAGCGGGTGTCATCGTACCCCAGCCACGTCCACGTGCACCACCATAACGCTAGTCACACTGCCGTCACTGCTGCACACCTCCCACCAGAACAATAGTCACGGCGCTCACCAACGCGCTCCTTCAACCACAACACTAAAATCTATCCATATTTTTCTTTGAAATATCTTCTCCTGTAAATAATTTTAAGTAAAATTCATAAATAATAAATCAATACCAAAATGCGAAGAAAGGTGGCAGCAAAGACGTACTTGGTATATATTATACTCTATATACAGCATATTTATCACTATTGTATTCACTATTTCTTTTTGTTACAGCTAGGCAGACGGGTCACAATTATATTTATACAATAATCATAACATACATGGGTAAGCACTACTACTAGTCGTCCAATAACGCCCGGGGATGAGGTTAATCAGGTTTGATCCACAAAGTAGAGAATAGTCTCAATTCCTATGATTACGAGCCGTTTAACAGCATCAAGGCATTCTCCCTTGATGTATGATTTTTCCAAATTACCCTTTCTGTTTCCTACACATCTCGAACGTCCGTAAGTCAGTGTTGTCCGAAGCTAGTAGCCGTCCCTCTTCCCTACTGGATTGGAGATATTGTAGATAACAGGCAATGTGGATGCGCATGTGTAGTCTCATACTACTTGCTTGCCGTCTGTACAGGCTTACAACGTGATTCCATCTGGACATTTTTGACTACCATCGATATGCGCAGTTTGGGTCGCTCATTAATGACGTTAACTTCTTCATGCCTTGTGATCTTTCCCTCAGATCTATGGCAAACAAGACTATGGTACCCAAAGCGATCTGCCGAAATGTATAGGGGTGGCAAAGCGAAGTGCAACACCGATGCCAGGACAGCTAATAGAAAATCCCCAAAACGCGGAGCTCTCACTGCCAGGAGGCGAGCTTTGTCCAAGGACGAGTCCCATGGTCTATCCTCGTGTCATCACTTGAGCAACACCTGCAAGAAGGGACTCCATTGTGCCTGCCAGGAAGCGGTGAACTAAACCAGATGTTGAAGTTCACTGGTCAATCTGATAAACTTCACTAACTGCTTTGCAGAAAAGTTATGAGGCAAGAGGATCCCCTTGCTGAACACCCTCCAATGAAGTGATTTCATGCTCCCCAAACAAAAAGCATTGATTCTTTGATGACACAGAGATGTAATCCACAGCACCGTGTCATCCTTTGCAGACGATAATAGGATCTGCATGAGACTGTCATCTATTGAGGACGCGGTTAACCTCCACGAAGATATAAACCAAGTTTTCCAGTGGGCAACGGAAAACAATACATGTTCAAAGATTACAAATTCCAACTACTCCGTTATGGAAAACTGGAAGAGATAATAACTAGAACAGAGTATACTACAAACTCTGGCCGTACAATAGAGGGGAAAAAATAATGTAAGGGACCTGGGAGTGGTAATGTCTGAGGATCTCACTTTCAAAGATCACAACAGTGCCACGATCACAAGTGAAAAGAAAATGATAGGAGATAATAGAACGTCAAAAAAGAGATCCCAAGCCAAGAGACCTTTTTCAATCACTTGTTCTCTCTGGCTGGAATACTGCGTACAAAAACATCTCCGTTAAAAAAGCAATGATTTTGCAGGGACAGAAAACCCCTTTTACTGCACGTATAAGCTCTATCACACCTAACTAGGGAACGTTTGGAAGCACTTGATTTTGAACTCTTTTGGAACGCAGGAAAAAGAGATATACATAAATACATTTGGGAAAATCCAAGAAGGAAGGTCCTAATCTTACATAGAAATCATCCCACGAAAAGAACAGACTGAGCAGGGCGATGAAAAATCCCCCCAATTAAAAGTAGGGCGCCATTGTACACAAGTGTCCGGGGAATTATCAATAGGCTGCTTAAAGGGGGATTGGGGCAATCCCAAGTCGGGGCCCGGGATCAGCCAGGCTGTGGGCGTACGTTGGACGCGTGCGGCTGCAGAACACCCTGGTTGATCAGACCCGATAAACCCTGAATCCCCCGGGGGGTATTTAAACTAGCTAACTAGAACCACGCCCGGCTGATCCGGCACTGAAGAAAAAATTTCTTTTTCTTTTTGTAGATTAAACGCGTTCTTGAAGTCTTGGTTAAAAGGGGCTTGTCCTCGGGTGGGCTACTGACATACCCCTTTTCCCCAGAAACCCCTTTCTTACTGCCCTTTACAAAACCCAAAACTAAGCTAGTTTGGTTGAAACTTCATGGCTGGGTATTCGGGGAAAACCCCGACCCTTTACCCCTTTAAAGTTTTTTGAGAGTTGTTCTACTCCCGGAGCCGGCCCCCCGGCCCGCTCACTGATGCTTTTTCTGGGCAACTAAAGCTTTGCGGCTCGAAAAGACCCCCCCCATCCATCACAACCTGGTGATTGGCACCTAGTGAAGAAACAGTCCCGAATATCCTTTACTCTTAAGCAACTGTTTGGGGACACTGAGAAGGCAAAGATTTAGGGCCCTACCAAGGTCAGATCAAAACCCCGGCTAGATGGATAAAAGGGTTTAGCGGGCCGCCAACAGCAGCAGCCTGGGTTTACCAGGCAAAAAATAAGCCCAGGGTCAGGCTGCGAAGCGAACCTAAAGTCCCCCAAGGGTTTCAACACTGAAGTCCTGAAAATTTTTGCTAAGACAAAGAAAAGGGGGAGAGGTGAAGCCGAGAGGAACTTGGAAAAAAAGCCTAAAATACTAGCTACTGGGTTCCTTTAACCCCTGAACGTGTGCACAGTCTACCCCAAACACCGTCATCCCCCTGTCTGCCACCCCGGGACCCCACGTTCTTCCACAACCGGCACCGCAGGTCTGCCATTTCAGGGTCAGTCCTAAATTCGCACGCCGTAACTACTGGAGTAAGATAGGAAGTGAAAAGCAGGCGTACCGGAGGCACATGAAAAAGAGCAAAGTAATGACACACGTGGTCCCATTATAAAACATCTCCCAGAATATTTAGAAACCTGGCAGAAATAATGTAAAGTCTTCAAAGAAAACCGAGTAGTACCTTTCCAAGTGCTGGATCAACCCGCTGTGATGGATATGGCCCAGTGGGTCGCCCAGCAACATTTAGTGATCAGAAAGCTCCTGTAGAGACAAGCCTGGAACAGGGCCGGCTGCAGGAGTAATAAAACTATCAAAACCCCCATCAAAGATATGGGGAAAGGGTAAAGGTATAAAGGTAGTCTGCGTCAAGCCCAGAAAACCCGGGATCTATTTTTGGAAATGGGCCGCGAGGGCGTGACCCCCGAAGTGAGGTTTTGTAAAAGGAACGTCACTACCTCGTCAGTTACTCTGTGGGTGGCCAAAGAGTGTGCATACTTTAAAAGACTTGAGCTCTTAGCGGCGACATGAGAGATCCGCTCGGCGATTCCCAAACCTAACACACACTCGTTATCGTCTATGCTCTGTAGTACAGGAAGACGAGCAGGAACGGTGGTGTCCTGAAAAATTTAAACGCGCAATGGGAAGAGGGCACGCCCGGGGCCCGTCACCGTCATGAGGGGGTACCACTCTCCGAGGACTGCTGGGTTGGAAATGCCTTGCACAGGCAGCGCTTCTGTAACCCTTCGTATCTCCGGGGAATACAAGAACACGGGGTTTACCTGGGTTATTCCGGGGATCAAGCCCCGCGGCCGGTCCACGACCAGGCCTCCCGATGGATCAGGGCCTGATCAACCAGGCTGTTACTGCTGGCCGCACGCAGTCCGACGTACGAGCCACAGCCCGGCTGATCCGGCACTGACTTTAGGTATCTGTCCAGCTCTCTCTTGAAGGCAGCCAGGGGTTTATTGGCAATTCCCCTAATGCTTGATGGGAGGCTGTTGAACAGTTTTGGGCCCCGGACACTTATGGTGTTTTCTCTTAGTGTACCAATGGCGCCCCTAGGTTAAGGTCATTTTTTTTTAATAAACACCCATCATCATTTTTCTAATATATTTTTCCTAAATATGAAGTTTTTATTTCAGAGACGAAGGGGATATGGGGATTACCGTTCCAATTAGTCATCCCAATCCCACGGCTGGGTATTGCAGCCCACAGGAACAGAGAGAGCTGGACAGATACCTAAAGTCAGTGCCGGATCAGCCGGGCTGTGGCTCGTACGTCGGACTGCGTGCGGCCAGCAGTAACAGCCTGGTTGATCAGGCCCTGATCCATCGGGAGGCCTGGTCATGGACCGGGCCGCGGGGGCGTTGATCCCCGGAATAACCTCCAGGTAACACAGTAAACTCCCTTTACTCCCATGACATCTGCGGCCTGCCTACCCAGTAAAGGGAAACAGACGGTTAAAACGATTAAGCTTGCTGTCACACATGTCTACCACAGTTTGCCGTCCCACATGTCTACCACAACCTGCCGTCACACTTGTATAAACTCAGTAAAGTATCTAAATTACAGTCCCTAGAACTGTACTCCTTAGAACGTAGACAAGAAAGATGCAGCATATTCAACACGTGGAAAATACTGGAGGGATTGGTCCCTATCCTGCACACCGAAATTATTACTCATAAACACAAGCGGCCAAGTAGACGGTGCAAAATGTCTAATGAAAAGCAGGGAAGCGAAGAATACAGTAAGGGACCACGATTCTCCAACTCCCTTCCTTCTTGGATAAGGGTGATTACCGATAAACTCTTGGCTGTCTTCAAGAGGGAACTCGACGGAGTCCTCGAAACAGTTCCTGATCAACCGGGTTGTGGTGTATAGGGGGACGGCGAGCACCAACAACTTGACTGGACAGGCCAGCAACCAGGAGGGCTGGTCTGGGACCGGGCCACGGGGACGGTGACCTCCAGAAGACTCCAAGTTAACAGCCTGCCATCACATATTTACTTTAGCCTGCCATGACATGTACCACAGCCTGCCATCACGTCCCCCCCCCATCATTATTCGCCCTTTCCCACGCTCGGGCGCATTCTCTCCTCTTCTACACTCCCCCCACCCCCGGCCATTCTATACAT